CCACTGCAGTCTGGACAGCACCCTGCACAGCACCCTGCACAGCAATTTTGCCAGACTTCTCCACCGCAGTCTGGACAGCACCCTGCACAGAACCCTGCACAGCACCCTGCACAGCACCTTTGCCAGACTTCGCCACTGCAGTCTGAACAGCACTCTGCACAGCACCTTTGCCAGACTTCGCCATTGCAGTCTGAAGAGCACTCGCCACTGCAGTCTGGACAGCACCCTGCACAGCACCCTGCACAGCACCCTGCACAGCCCCCTGCACAGCCCCCTGCACAGCACCCTGCACAGCACCCTGCACAGCACCCTGCACAGCACCTTTGCCAGACTTCGCCACCGCAGTCCGGACAGCAACCTGCAGAGCACCCTGCACAGCACTCCTGCCAGACTTCGCCACCGCAGTCTGGACAGCACCTTTGCCAGACTTCGCCACCGCAGTCTGGACAACACCCTGCACAGCACCCTGCACAACACCTTTGCCAGACTTCGCTACCGCAGTCTGGACAGCACCCTGCACAGCACCCTGCACAGCACCTTTGCCAGACTTCGCCACTGCAGTCTGAACAGCACCCTGCACAGCACCCTGCACAGGACCCGTGCCAGACTTCGCCACCGCACTCTGGACAACACCCTGCAGAGCGCCCAGCACAGCACCCTGCACAGCACCTTTGCCAGACTTCGCCACTGCAGTCTGGACAACTCCCTGCACAACACCCTGCACAGCAATTTTGCCAGACTTCGCCGCCGCAGTCTGGACAGCACCGCACAGCACCCTGCACAGCACCCTGCACAGCACTTTGCACAGCACCCTGCACAGCACCTTTGCCAGACTTCGCCACTGCAGTCTGAACAGCACTCTGCACAGCACCCTGCACAGCACCCTGCACAGCACCGTGCACAGCACCCTGCACAGCACGCTGCACAGCACCTTTGCCAGACTTCGCCACTGCAGTCTGAACAGCACTCTGCACAGCACCCTGCACAGCACCTTTGCCAGACTTCGCCACTGCAGTCTGAACAACACTCTGCACACCACCCTGCACAGCACCTTTGCCAGATTTCGCCACCGCACTAGTACAGCACCCTGCACAGCAATCTGCACAGCACCCTGCACAGCACCTTTGCCAGACTTCGCCACCGCAGTCTGGACAACAGCCTGCACAGCACCTTTGCCAGACTTCGCCACCGCAGTCTGGACAGCACCCCGCAAAGCACCCTGCACAGCACCCTGCACAGCACCCTGCACAGCACCCTGCACAGCACCCTGCACAGCACCCTGCACAGCACCCTGCGCAGCACCTTTGCCAGACTTGCCACCGCAGTCTGGACAGCACCCTGCACAGCACCTGCACAGCACCCTGCACAGCACCTTTGCCAGACTTCGCCACCGCATCTGGACAGCACCCTGCACAGCACCCTGCACAGCACCTTTGCCAGACTTCGCCACCGCAGTCTGGACAACACCCTGCACAGCACCTTTGCCAGACTTCGCCACCGCAGTCTGGACACACCCTGCACAGCACCCTGCACAGCACCTTGCCAGACTTCGCCACCGCAGTCTGGACAGCACCCTGCACAGCACCCTGCACAGCACCTTTGCCAGACTTCGCCACCGCAGTCTGTGCACAGCACCCTGCACAGCACCCTGCACAGCACAGCCTGCCCTGCACAGCACCCTGCACAGCACCCGCACAGCACCTTTGCCAGACTTCGCCACCGCAGTCTGGACAGCTGCACAGCACCCTGCACAGCACTGCACAGCACCTTTGCCAGACTTCGCCACCGCAGTCTGGACAACACCCTGCACAGCACCCTGCACAGCACCTTTGCCAGACTTCGCCACCGCACTCTGGACAGCACCCTGCACAGCACCCTGCACAGCACCCTGCACAGCACCCTGCACAGAACCCTGCACAGCACCTTTGCCAGACTTCGCCACCGCACTCTGGACAACACCCTGCAGAGCACCCTGCACAGCACTCTTGCCAGACTTTGCCACCGCAGTCTGGACAGCACCCTGCACAGCACCCTGCACAGCACCTTTGCCAGACTTCGCCACTGCAGTCTGGACAGCACCCTGCACAGCACCCTGGGCTCAAAGTTCGCCACCGAAGACCCCACCTTTGAGAAGTAAGAGCCCCTATAGCTTGCCAGCTATCTGGGGAAAAAAAATCCAAAATGCTAGGCAAACATAATCAGAGATACAGAAGTTGATTGATGTCATGACAAACATAGACAGAGCCCAATCTGCAAAGCAATCAGAAGTACAGAAGTTGATCATGGACCAATCAAAGCATGGCAAACCCCATGGAAACTACCATCACAGATAAACTAACTCAGGCAGTCTACAGCTCACACAGGCATGAGCCCGCAGCCTCCCAGCAGCAGCAGCAATTCAGTCGGAGTCACCTTGGGCTAGATGAAGACCACGATCATGACTAAGTTCTGATGAGCCAGTCGCCGACTGAGCAAAGCCGAGGGCCAAGGCAGCTGGCAACATTCTAAAATCATGCAAGTGACAATTTTAACATGCCATATCATGCAGACATGTAATGAACGAAGGTGGGTCGAACCTATTCACACGACTCTTGAGACCAACATCCTATGCCATGACACTAGCATGCCATGCCATCATGAAAACCTGCCATGCCATCATGCTAACATGCAATGCCACGATAAACATTCATGAACATCATCAATCATGCATGGGGGTGGCAAACAGGATGACGCAAGTTCAACCATGTCTTGCTTGCTGGCATGCCTTTTTGGGATCCTGGTCTAGTAATGCATTTGCAAGCTCATTGATTAAAAGGGAAATCTGGGATCCATTGATGATCTCTGACGCAAAACCGAAGGCGGGTGACATGAACCAATTGTCACATATCACCCAACTTCTTTGCATGATCCTACGGCAAAAACGAGGCGATGCCCGGCCTGACAAGTATGCTCCAATGCGGCCAGTATATTAAGATGATGTTTCTATGATATTTAAGACGATATGCTCCCCAATGACCCAACCCTTTGAGCTCAAGACAGTCATTGCCCCTCCTGGCACACGCGGAACCTCAAGCTGCGGCTGGTGAGAGAAGCTTGACACACACAAAAAATATATATCAACATGGCATGACATGGAATGAAAGGGTTCCTGGGTGGCATGACAAGGACAACTCGTGGCTGACTTGGCTGACATTGCTCCAAGAAGTCTTGCAAGTGGAAGCCTTGGACCTTCCGCGACATGCTTATTATGGAAGCCATGGCATGGTAGGCAAGTCAACAATTTCAAATTTCACCCAACAAGGTGTTACATCGGCTTCAAATGTCAATACCTCAAACCAACACAAAACATCAAATGCACCAAATTGATCTCACACTCAACCTTTTCATGCAACTCACATGGGCCTCGCATGTATCTGACATGGAACCTTCATGCCATCCATGAACTAAATACCTTAACATGCCTGCCTGCCTCTTCTTGAATTCCAGATCTGCCTTGACTTTCCACAACTTCATGACCACACGGCAGGAACCTTGCCACTCCTTCGGTGACACGCCTCTTCCGCAACCTCCTCACACTCCTCCTCGTCCTCCTTCCCCATGGGTTCGTCAACCTTGGGTTCATCAACCACGGGATCCACCTTCACCTCCTCCCTCCCCGCAACCTCCGGCTTTGGCTTGGCGTTGAGCTCAAGCATCAGAGCCTCACGCCTCAACCTTTGCAGCTTTCGTCCCAGCTGAATACTTTTCATTGCAGTCACGCAGTCACATGAGAAGTTATGCCAGCACATGGCACCTAACATGTATGAGATCAAGTGGCATGACACTACATGAAACGACGGAACCTCACATTTCATCACATGAACGTGGCATGAAGTCAAAGTGGTAAGGCATCGAGTCAACATGGCATGATCATGACATGGCATGACGTGTGGCAAGGCATGACATCGCACCTGGCATGACATGACATGGCATGAAATTACATGACATGGAATGAGTGGACTTCCAACCCAGGCTGCTGGTCCAATCAAGGACTGGGGGTAGCTCATCCAATTCCCGGAGGGTAAGGGATATAGAGTTCTGGACGATCTTCAACGTCGGTGGTGGGGCCCTGCACCTCACCATGCAAGGATGTCCTCATGATGAAACCTAATATCATTAGATACTTTCTAGGCCTTAAGCAGGCCAGGTTTAGATCAGCACCACCTTAGCACTTTATTGCATATTATTTCTTTTTATTGCATATTATTGCATATTGTTGCATATTTAAACATATATATATATATACATATTATCTATTTTATTTTCATTTTTACATTTTAATTCATTTTATAACATTTTATTTCATATATATATATAGTTTTTTTAATTACCAGGTGGAGTAAACCATACGACACAGCACGCGCTCAAACAGCAACTACCAAGAATCACAGAAAAAATGAGAACCGCAGCCCTACGGGACAAGACAAGGTGATTTCAGTGGGTGTGCCACGTGTGCAGCCAAGAGATCGAACAGTGTCGCATTGACCTGGGCCGAGTGGGAAATTGGAAACTCACAAGTCTTTCAAGTTGTCTGTCATGGATAGTGTTGTCACTGAGAAAAGGATTTGAAATCAGCCACAACATCCTTTGTAATTAATTTCATCAGCAGCACATTGCATTGTCAGTTGTCAGTTGTCAGCAAGTAGCACCACAGTAAATCACAGTGTCGGCTTGACTTGGGTTCAAACATCACTTGAAAGACTTGAGGCATTTTCACTGAATTATGAATTTGGAATCAAGGTTCCAAAAGGGCAGAGCGTCTAGCGTCTCAAATGACGACTGGTCACTCCAACATGTTTGTGAGATATGATGAATCACAACAATCACATAAAGCAACTATATCAAATCTGATGTGTGCCAACCAATCATCAATTGGCTTCAGTCGACCACTCTGCTTGGCAAAGATCCTTGACTGCCTGCCGAAAGGCCTAGTGTAAACCTGCGACTCTGCTAAGAGGTCTTTATGACCTGTGAACTGGCCATCGTGCCTTCTCACGCTGCAACAAGGCTATTCTGTCCCACGGACTCAGCAGTTGAAGGGGTTTTTGGCTTGGCCCGCCAAGACTGCCCATGTAAGTGACAAACTTTTTGGAGGCTGTGAGCCTGAGGACTGTCTGGAAGGTCCAACAGTCTGGCATCACTGAAGACGTTGGCTGCTCGAGAACGGGCCATAGGCCCAGCAGGTAAGCGACCAGAAAAATGATGGAGGACACTTCCATCAAATGGTTTCCGGTGCGGACAAACATTCTGTTGATATCGCCCAGCCATCCATTCGATGCTTGCCTCCGGCTCTGATGCCGACATAATACGACGAAGGATGCCAGCCAGCAAAGGCCTTTCCTCTTCAAACACCCCAGGTTGTCAAGGATGAGCCTCAACCCATGTGACGCCAAGGCATTGTGAGCACGATCAAAAACTATGTCGTAGCCACTTCCTTTGAAACCAGCACAGATCATCTCCAATGTGAGGTTGGCCCGGCCAGCGAATATTTCCATGTAGTCAAAGGTTTGATCACCCCTTTGGTTCCTCAATCCCCGCATCACCACCCGGAGCAAGATGTCACACAGGTTCAAGCCAGCCAAAGCCGGATAGCACAATGCCAGAATGGTTGGCCAAATAGCAGCTGCATGTCCATGGTTGAGCTGCGAGCCCAAAAACAGGAACTGATTGATCAGGTGCTCGTAGTAGACGACTTCGTCCATCTCAGAAGCTGTCAAAGACCTCAGGTATCAACGGGGATCGATCCAGCGTCATCATATATTGATCAATGGTCATCAGTTTAATCTATCGGCCAGTGTGTCAAATCACCTGTCAACCAGTCACTATGTAAAATCTCCTGTCAACCGGTCAGTGCGTCAAATTACCTATCGTTCGATCAGTGCTTCATATATAGCAGAGAATGATACAAGTTGTTGTTTATTTACTTGCCGCTGTCTTCAGTCCAAATATTCAAGAAAACAAAGACAAACAAAACACCACGGCTGGAGCAAAAATTAGACACCGCAGTGAAGGTAGGGATGACCATGCCATAAAGTCTTGCAGCTTGTGGTGGCACGCTTCAAAGAACTGGGCTGCAATCCCATCATCTAAGTGCTCCCCTTCACAGTGGTCAGGCCCCAATTCACCACCTGCAACATCACCATGATCATCGTCATGATTGAACAAAGGCTCACCATACGCCGTATGAGTTGGCTCCGCCTCGATGGCAACAACATCCTGAGAGTGATGATTGGCACAAGCACGCTGCTGCCTCTTCACATTGGTCTTCTTGACCTTGTGGACACATTGAAACCCTGACATCATCATGAATGGAAGCATTGGGTACATCATCATGAGTGGATGCGCACAAGGAGGAGCACGCTGATGAAGCACCATTGCTCCGGAACCAAATCAAACGGCCACTTTAGTCGCAAACAAAAACTGTGGAAATTTGCCAGCCAGGCACAGTGTCAGCTGAGCAAACAGTGCGATCAAATACTTTCTTGATTGGCATCCATTTTGATTGCTTGACTGACTGATTGATTGGTTGGTTGGTTGGTTTGGTTGATGACTTGGCTGATTGTTTGATTGGTTGGTTGATTGATTGAGTGCTTGGTTGATTGATTGCTTGGTTGATTGGTTGACTGATGGGTTTGATTGGCTGGCTGATTGCTTGATTGACAGAATTAGAATGGTTGCTTGACTCACTGACTGCTTGATTGGTCGGTTCATTGTCAAGTAAAACAATTACGTGAACGCCCGAGACCAAGGAAGAACTAATGAAATTCATCGGTTAGCTGATTGATTGGCACACGAGTGACAGAGCTGACAATGGCTGACAGTGGATACAAATTTAATGCGCTGATTTCACTGGTAAACCTGATCTGATTGAAATAGGAAGCTGATTGATTCATGGCAAGCGTCAGGAATCAACATGTCACCCACTGCTGCACCCAAGGCTGCACTTGCTGGCAGACTCTGCTGCAACCCCAATCAAAGTTTCCAGTTGGGACTGGCGTGACTCAACAAAAACACAAGAAAACTGGGGGGATATAAGTCAACCAAGGAGAAATACACCGTATGAGTGGCAGCATACCCAGCAATGTCACCACAAACTGCAAGTGGCCACTGTTCTCCTTTTTTGTCGGCAACGGCTATTAGCTATAGAGCAAAGCCCCCAGAGCGACATTGGAAAAGTCTTAGTTTAACTGAGCCCATCCAGAACCCATCTGGACAGCGTATTTCTTCCTGCCGTCTTCTCCATTGATGTTTTTGCGGCTTTCAAGACTTGGTTTCAGTACTGTAGGGTCATTTGGTTTTCTCCTTCTTCTTTTTTTTTGACTTGGCTTTATCATCGTCCTTGATTTTCGTTTCTTCCTTCTTTGGATACCTTCTCTAAGCTTGGCATGCATTGATTGAACTTGAGGCCTGACTGATTCGATCACTGAAGGTGGAACATGTCCAGGCTTTTGAACGTGGCTTGGATCCACCGACTAGCCTCGGCTGGCAGTTACAGCTGATGGTTGTTTGACTTCAGCTTGAACGAAGTCACTAGTGTCAGTCTGAACCATCCATGATTAACGTTTAAGACTGTCAACATGTGGCAATTCAAGTTGTCAAATGCCAATTGTCCATCACGATTTTTTGGTTACAGAAAACTTGATTGACTGACAGATGCAAGCCATGCTGTTCATAAAATGGAATAACCCAGTTGTTTGCGTCAGGTCATGCATGAATTATGCGCGATTCGATTCTCATCATTGCCAACACAAATTGTCAAGTCAAGTTTCAAGTGCCCATCCATAAGTAAGTTAATGTTGATCAAAGAAAACCTTAATTGAATCACGATGCCATCCCTGCTGTGTGGTTCAAAACCCTAGACAAGTGTCATGGATACGCTTATCCATATTCCATGATTCGATTGTCAGCATTCGTCATTGTGAACTGAAGTTGTCAAGTGTGACAGTGTCTACCAAAGAAATACACATAAAATTGACTGACTGAAGCTGACGCAAGTCACTAGGGAACTCTTTGCTGTATGAGTTCCAGCGGTTCCACGCATAGTCGTGCACATGCTCGAGACTGTTCACCCAGCTGGCTTCCACCTCCTTGTCGAAACACTTTGACTCTTCAGGCCAAGTTCATCATTGAAGTTGGCTGTGAAACGGTGATCATTTCCTTGGATTGACAGACAACCCCATGCCATGTCATGCCAGGCCGAACCAAACAACAAACGTGAAATTACCCCATGCCATGACAAATCAAAAAGCCAAAAAGCCGTTAAAGAAAAGCCAAAAAGCCATCGAGAAGAATCGAACATCCTGGCCGTGCGATTGAAGATAAGCATTCTGGGATGTGATGAACATGTGGCCCTTTGGGGCCAGCAGCAGGCCTCGAGGCGCCAGGCCGAGATGAAGGATCCCCTTCGTCTGGGGCAAGGAGCTGCTGGTTTAGGCCAAAATCCGGTGTTGGGGCAAGTGCCGAAGACGACGAAGCTGCTGGATGGCCCTCTTCAACTGCCAAGCTGTCAGACCAATTCACCACAGCTGCTGTCTTCAGCGATGGCTGCTGCTTTCAAGTCGGTCAATTCGTGCTCTGTGAGGTCGCCAAAGAAGCTCTGGTCAGCATCTCCTGTTTTCAAGGCTGGGCTCTGGCTGCGTTTCTTCAACTTCAAGCAAGTTGTTCTCAGGAGATTCGAGTGTCTGCAAGTTGGGGTTTGGCTGCTCATTGTTCTCGGCCTGAGCAGGCACAAAGCTGGGTTCTGGTTCCTGTTGATCATCAAAACCTAAGTCTTGGAAAGCTGATTCAGCTTCACCAACAGATCCGTCACGCTGCACTGAGCCAGCCTCACAAGAGTCAAAGCTCAACCTTCTTTTCACTGATGGCTGTCCACGTCCTTGTACTTTCCCTCGCCCTTTTCCTCGTCCTTTTCCTCCTCCTCCCTTGGCCTTGTTGAGTTTTGCCTGCGCTCTTGCTTGCTTGGCCTGCTTCTTTTTTGGTCAGCGTCAAGCCCTTCTTGTCTCCATTGCTGCCACTGTTTTCGTTTGGGGTTCTTTTGTTTTTGTCCAATTTTCATGTCATCACGGAAATCTTTGGCTTCGTCCTTGTCCGTGTTTTCCAAAATGACTTCTGCAAAATCATCAGCTGCTGCATCGTCTTCATCGGTTTCTTTCTTCTTCTTGCTTGATTTCTCTTCGTTTTCGATCACGGCATCGGCAAAATTGGAGTCACCCTGGCTAGCTTCCAAAGCAATTTTTCTGAGAAGTTCCATCCTGGTGAAAGAAGTGGGATTGAGGATTCCAAGCCCATCTCCGGCCAAGAGCACAAGCTGACGGAAGACCAGGTCCATTGAAAAATGACGAATCATGCACAACAGCGCCGGTTGCCACTCATCAGGCAGCACTGGTTTCACACAGATCGCGCTGTCACAGCCAAGTATTGGCTCCGCCAATGCTGCTTCAAATTGACCAAGGTCAAACACAAAGTGCCAGTGCAAACGGCCATTGCCATCCAACTGGATTGACCCGTCTGGTCTCTCCAGCAAAGGCCAACCCAACACTGCCCAGTCCATGTTGCAAACACACAGAAACTGAGTCTTGTCCACCGGCTTGTCATCAGTGATGTTCATCATGGCTCGGTAGAGCATGCCTGGTCGCAAAACGATGCAAAGCTGAGCATCCTCAGTCATCGTTGCTGTTGGCGCGATTAAAAAAGCTTCAGTGGTATCCCCAACAGCCGCAACGTTTTATTTTTGAAAATCTTTCTGAAGCGTGCTGCGAAGCCAAGCGCTGGAAACACCTCAGCTGGGTCTCCGTAAAAGAAATGGCCGCAAATCCTGTTGAACCTGACCTGGCTCTGCACCAAAGCCTCCCAGACCTTCTTCGGAACTCTGACCTGGCTCTGCCCCAAAGCCTCCGGAACCGAACCTTCTCCGGAACCTTCTCGAACCTGACCTGGCTCTGCACCAAAGCCTCCCAGACCTTCTTCGGAACTCTGACCTGGCTCTGCCCCAAAGCCTCCGGAACCGAACCTTCTCCGGAACCTTCTCCGGAACCCTGTCTGCACCAAAGCCTCCCCCACACCGTCTCCGGAACCCCTGTTGAACCTGACCCAAGCCTCCCAGACCTTCTCCGGAACCTTCTCCGGAACCTTCTCCGGAACCCTGTTGAACCTGACCTGGCTCTGCACCAAAGCCTCCTGCACACCGGAACTATTCTGGGCTGAAGGCTGTTGGGGAAAAATCTTATTCGAAGTGATTGACAGTGACAGGGACAACTGGTGGGTAGAGCCAGAATTGCAATGAAGACAGTTGACACACTTGACATCAGTTTGACTATAGGTGATTGACAGTTCCAGTCAGTGGTATTTTGGGACTTCGTCAAAGCCTCAGAGCCTCAGAGCCAACCCTTATACAAAAATCATTCAAAAAATGCAATCAGCAAAGGGGCCTGCAGCGCAATCTTCTTGACGTTCAAATTGAATTTGGCATAGTACCTGGCCAGCTCCCAACCAGCAGAGGCTCGTTGCAGGGTCTCCTCGCTGATTGTGTCCCACTTTTTCGCGCCCAGCAATTGCGAATATTTTTGGGGGCTTTTTTCAGATTTCGGAACAGACGCTGCTTTCCAACTCCGTTTGCCACACGTTCTCTTTCAGCGAAGGGTGAAGACATCTCTGGTAACGGCAGCTGGGTGCCTGATAGCTCGAGATTCAAATGCCTTGGATCATAAAATCACTTGCTGGATCTGGGCAAATGTTTGCGATTTGTTGGCATTCGCCCAAGCGTCATTCCTGACGCATCCATGCACATCCTCAATGAGTTTGGAATCAGGAAGTCCCTTCAAAATTGCTTTCAAAAGTTTCTTGGCAGTCGCATGCCGTCCATGTTCTGCAAGCTGGAAGATCACCCTCATTACCGGTGGCACAGCAACTCTCATGTCACGGGCCAAAGCTTGATTGCCAGTGCTCTGCTCCAACAACGTCAAAAGTTTCCAGTCGGCATTCATAAGGTCCAAAGCTTGTTGGGCCTCGTCAAGGTCCTCACTGAAGTATTCAACAATAGACCTCAGGAGCACTTGAATTTTTGCTGGGTGCTGGCGGCCCTTCTGCTCAGAAGCTAAGTGCAGTAGAAGAACAACTCCTCCACAAAAGCGCCCATGCAAGTCTCAGGATTTGGCCCAAGCTGCTGCTTTGCAAGTTCCAAAAACTTGCCCACCTTGATGAACTCCTCCGACTGCGGTAAGACTTTCACAAGGCAGCGGAATTGGCTGTCTTGAAGCCAGTTACCTCCAGCAAGACTTCTCAAGTGACCCAAGCCTTTCTCAGGACATTTGACATTTTTTACTTGATCAGTGTACCAAGTCCACAGCGGCTGGCCGCCAAGCCAGAGAACTTTCACT